GTTTCTTGTCCCCTTGATTACTCATATTAATCAACCTAGATACATCACTATAAATATCTTTAATGGATTCTTTTATATCTTTTAATTCCTGGAGGATAACCACTGACCTCTCCACAAATTCCGAACGATCATCGTTATTATCTTTTATCGTTTCAACCATTCCAGGTCTGCCGTTCTTGATTTCATTTAAAATTCCCTTTAAACTACTTTATAAGTCTGAAATTCTCTTAATTAGCCGACACCAGAGTGTCCTTTTTCCAATTACCATATACCTTGGTCGCAACCAAAGTACATTTTCCACATAAAAATTTCAAAAGTACATATTTTAAATATATAATTATTATTAATCATGTAACTAAGTGATGGCCTATATCCAATTCATAATGTTCTGATACAAGATTTTATAACCCATATCCTTAAAGATGGCAATTTTATTAATAAAAGTAGGCTCAGAATACTTATCGAAATGCACAACCATCGCATATTACGAATTTCTACTTTAGAATTATGTTATTACAAAAAGTTATATTATATTATAAAGCCTGGGTGTTACTCAAACTAATCTAAAAAAGTATTTTTCACACTATTTTGTTAATTAAAATTCTAAAAAAATTTAAACAACAAAAACGTTATTATTGCGTTGTGTCCTAAGGGAACATATAATATGTAAAATAAAAATGTGGTTTTTACCTTATAATAACGAATAGGTATCTCTATCCTAAGTCACGGTCAACACTTTTGACGTATAGTAACAAGTATCGTATAAAGAATTAGTTTATTTTAAGAGTCCAATAAATGAATATTTAGATGTATACTTAATTCATAAAATAATTTCTTTTTCTTCAAATTTCAAAACTTTTATTTTCATCATCAAAAAGAAAAGAATAATCCAAATCCATAAAAAAAAAAGAATGAATCGAAATCTATAAAAAAAATGTATTTTCAAAAAAAAATATAAAATCCAATTTTTAACATTTTGAAGTTTTTTTTAAGGATGGAGAGATTAGAACCGTTGTCAAATAAAGAAAGGTTAAAACTAAAATGATACTAAATCTTTATTAAGTAATAAGATAAAACCATAATCAAAATAAATTAATATAAATTAAAATTAAAAAAAAATTAAAGATTAAAAAAATCAAGTTCGTAAAATCATAATCATAATAATTATTATTTACAAGACAAATATCCTCGATTATATTAATATTCATTTACATAATGTTTTACAAACAAACTGAAAAAATCTTGAACTTTATTTAATTTGAATATTTATTCATTTTTCTTTAATCAACATTTGCATAGTCTCAATTTGTATCGAAATTTAATTCTTTTTTCTTGAGTAGATTTGATATCTTTCGGCTTCGTAATTTGGTTTAAAAGTAATTTGCCTTTCTGGCGTTTTTCTTAATCTAGTAAATTTGCATTAACCACAATTACACACCCTTCCACTTAGATTAGCCCCGCCATTCTGCGAGTGATCTCCTTTCTTCCGATTTTGATTTTACTGATCTTGTTTCTCCACCGAATATATTCGTCTTAATATTTAATGTCTTCAAGTTTCTAACGACGGAGGTCTATTGTTATATTTTTTACTTCTAAGGACTGTTATCAGATTACAATCTGAAATTCTTGATTCCTTCTGTTTCTTGTCAACCCCTTGTAAACGATTATCTCTTGATCTCTATAGGCAATTGACGAACTTGATTCACGCCTGTTATTATGATTCCCGATACATTATTCTAGTCTCTTTTAATTATATTTCGTTTTAATCCCCTTGGTAAATTATCCTAGTCTTTGCTTGTTTCTAACGGTATCTAGTAACTAATGACGGTAAACGACTGACGATAATTTGTCTGCGAGTAACAATTGTTTCCACGACTTCTTGTTTCTAAGATCATCGATTTTTTATCCCATACTAAAGTTTTGATAAGCAATTGGCGATAATTTGTCAACGATTAACGATAGCATCCTGGACTTGACCACTTGTTCTACCTAGTCGCTTGACCACTTGTTCTACCTAGTCGCTTGACCACTTGTTCTACCTAGTCGCTTGACCACTTGTTCTACCTAGTCGCTTGACCACTTGTTCTACCTAGTCGCTTGTCCAGATATCCACGTTGCCTTAAGATCTCTTATACGATAATGATTTCTTGTATCTTTTGATCCAAAATAAAAATCCGATCTCTAATTGAGCTCGATTGCGGCATAAATTTTCTAACGACGAAAAGCCGTTTCTCTTTATGAAGATTTTTTGGTTAATCAACAACCTGATATTTTGCTAATATTATCAACTCAAATAACAGTTAAACGTATATCTTTAATAAAAATTTATAACGAATTTCTTTTAGCTACATCGATCACTTGTACGTATAACGATCTCTTGTGACGAATTCCTTTTAATTAAACGACTAATTCTATTCTTTTCCGAAATACGACCATTAATATTGATACCATTGTTTTATTGCTCTCATTCTTTGTCTTAGTCGATCGTCATTTCATACATCCCCTTCCCCCTTTATTTAGAATTTCTTTTCAATTAATTAGACTGAATTGTTGAAATTGCCCTGTCACCTCCACTCTCCAACATCATTGTAACATTTTGAAGTTTTTTTTTAAGGATTGAGAGATTAGAACCGTTGTCAAATAAAGAAAGGTTAAAACTAAAATGATACTAAATCTTTATTAAGTAATAAGATAAAACCATAATCAAAATAAATTAATATAAATTAAAATTAAAAAAAAATTAAAGATTAAAAAAATCAAGTTCGTAAAATCATAATCATAATAATTATTATTTACAAGACAAATATCCTCGATTATATTAATATTCATTTACATAATGTTTTACAAACAAACTGAAAAAATCTTGAACTTTATTTAATTTGAATATTTATTCATTTTTCTTTAATCAACATTTGCATAGTCTCAATTTGCATCGAAATTTAATTCTTTTTTCTTGAGTAGATTTGATATCTTTCGGCTTCGTAATTTGGTTTAAAAGTAATTTGCCTTTCTGGCGTTTTTCTTAATCTAGTAAATTTGCATTAACCACAATTACACACCCTTCCACTTAGATTAGCCCCGCCATTCTGCGAGTGATCTCCTTTCTTCCGATTTTGATTTTACTGATCTTGTTTCTCCACCGAATATATTCGTCTTAATATTTAATGTCTTCAAGTTTCTAACGACGGAGGTCTATTGTTATATTTTTTACTTCTAAGGACTGTTATCAGATTACAATCTGAAATTCTTGATTCCTTCTGTTTCTTGTCAACCCCTTGTAAACGATTATCTCTTGATCTCTATAGGCAATTGACGAACTTGATTCACGCCTGTTATTATGATTCCCGATACATTATTCTAGTCTCTTTTAATTATATTTCGTTTTAATCCCCTTGATAAATTATCCTAGTCTTTGCTTGTTTCTAACGGTATCTAGTAACTAATGACGGTAAACGACTGACGATAATTTGTCTGCGAGTAACAATTGTTTCCACGACTTCTTGTTTCTAAGATCATCGATTTTTTATCCCATACTAAAGTTTTGATAAGCAATTGGCGATAATTTGTCAACGATTAACGATAGCATCCTGGACTTGACCACTTGTTCTACCTAGTCGCTTGTCCAGATATCCACGTTGCCTTAAGATCTCTTATACGATAATGATTTCTTGTATCTTTTGATCCAAAATAAAAATCCGATCTCTAATTGAGCTCGATTGCGGCATAAATTTTCTAACGACGAAAAGCCGTTTCTCTTTATGAAGATTTTTTGGTTAATCAACAACCTGATATTTTGCTAATATTATCAACTCAAATAACAGTTAAACGTATATCTTTAATAAAAATTTATAACGAATTTCTTTTAGCTACATCGATCACTTGTACGTATAACGATCTCTTGTGACGAATTCCTTTTAATTAAACGACTAATTCTATTCTTTTCCGAAATACGACCATTAATATTGATACCATTGTTTTATTGCTCTCATTCTTTGTCTTAGTCGATCGTCATTTCATACATCCCCTTCCCCCTTTATTTAGAATTTCTTTTCAATTAATTAGACTGAATTGTTGAAATTGCCCTGTCACCTCCACTCTCCAACATCATTGTAACATTTTGAAGTTTTTTTTAAGGATTGAGAGATTAGAACCGTTGTCAAATAAAGAAAGGTTAAAACTAAAATGATACTAAATCTTTATTAAGTAATAAGATAAAACCATAATCAAAATAAATTAATATAAATTAAAATTAAAAAAAAATTAAAGATTAAAAAAATCAAGTTCGTAAAATCATAATCATAATAATTATTATTTACAAGACAAATATCCTCGATTATATTAATATTCATTTACATAATGTTTTACAAACAAACTGAAAAAATCTTGAACTTTATTTAATTTGAATATTTATTCATTTTTCTTTAATCAACATTTGCATAGTCTCAATTTGTATCGAAATTTAATTCTTTTTTCTTGAGTAGATTTGATATCTTTCGGCTTCGTAATTTGGTTTAAAAGTAATTTGCCTTTCTGGCCTTTTTCTTAATCTAGTAAATTTGCATGTTACCACAATTACAACACAATTATTATTTTTTTTACATTAAATAATAAATAATTTTTTCCTCCAATCAGATGTATACAATCCATCTGATTGACGTTTAATGAGAATATACGTTTTTTAATATAACATACTAGGACACTAACAAAGACATTTTATTAATGTTTATGATTAACGCGTTCAAAATTTGTGAATTCCCTTTGTATTCTACATTCACTGCTGTACCTATCACTTGTATCATCTTGCTATTGTAACCTGATAACTTTATGTTGGACTTCATAATATTTTTAATGCCTGTTTTCTCAATCATGTATTCTTGTTAAAACATTTATTAAAAACTTAATTATAAAGTAGTTAAGAAAAAAATTACCATTGGCTAAAATTTTATTAAAAATATAGTTTTTCATATAAGGAAAGAAATTAAACTCCTCTTTATTTATAGAAAATCTCAGTTATTGAAGATTCACAAATTGTATTATCTCCTCATCCAATCCCCAGTTCCAGTGAAGCGCTTACTTTGCATGATGAGGTATTTAATTTAAATACGAATTATATGATAGATTTTGAAGGAAATAAATTATGATTATAAGGTTATTCAAATATTTCTAACATTTATTAAAAACTTAATTATAATGTAGTTAAGAAAAAAATTACCATTTGGCTAATATAGATTTTCATAAGGAAGAAATTAAACTCCTCTTTATTTATAGAAAATCTCAGTTATTGAAGATTCACAAATTGTATTATCTCCTCATCCAATCCCCAGTTCCAGTGAAGCGCTTACTTTGCATGATGAGGTATTTAATTTAAATACGAATTATTTGATAAATTTTGAATGGAAATAAATTATGATTATGAGGTTATTCAAATATTTCCAACATTTATTAAAAACTTAATTATAATGTAGTTAAGAAATAAATTACCATTTGGCTAAAATTTTATTAAAAATATAGTTTTTCATAAGGAAAGAAATTAAACTCCTCTTTATTTATAGAAAATCTCAGTTATTGAAGATTCACAAATTGTATTATCTCCTCATCCAATCCCCAGTTCCAGTGAAGCGCTTACTTTGCATGATGAGGTATTTAATTTAAATACGAATTATTTGATAAATTTTGAATGGAAATAAATTATGATTATGAGGTTATTCAAATATTTCCAACATTTATTAAAAACTTAATTATAATGTAGTTAAGAAATAAATTACCATTTGGCTAAAATTTTATTAAAAATATAGTTTTTCATAAGGAAAGAAATTAAACTTCTCTTTATTTATAGAAAATCTCAGTTATTGAATATTCACAAATTGTATTATCTCCTCATCCAATCCCCAGTTCCAGTGAGGCGCTTACTTTGCATGATGAGGTATTTAATTTAAATACGAATTATATGATAACTTTTGAATGAAATAAATTATGATTATGAGGTTATTCAAATATTTCCAACATTTATTAAAAACTTAATTATAATATTGTTAAGAAAAAAATTACCATTTGGCTAAAATTTTATTAAAAATATAGTTTTTCATAAAGAAAGAAATTAAACTCCTCTTTATTTATAGAAAATCTCAGTTATTGAAGATTCACAAATTGTATTATCTCCTCATCCAATCCCCAGTTCTAGTGAGGCGCTTACTTTGCATGAGGTATTTTATTTAAATAAAATTTATATAATAACTTTTGAAGGGAAAAAATTATGAGGATATTCAAAGTCCAAGTCTTATTCAGCTATACAAAAAGAAGGAACCAAATGACCCATTTCACTTCAAATTATTTAGGATGACAAATATTTTGATTAATTTCATAATTGCTGTAGGCTCTTGTCAGCCATGTACAAATAAATTTCAATATCCTGTTACTCTCAAGAGGTTTTAAATAATATTTAATTTTCATTAATTTTTACCCATCCATTATTTCTATACCAGTTTTTATTTTTTTACTTTTTAAACAGGAGCATGAATATAACCTATTATAGAAAGGTTAATATTGATGGTTCCCTCAACCCCAGAAATTGGCTATCTTATAGCACTACTTTAGACAAAGTCTTTTGTCTATATTGTATTATGTTTGGTGGCCCTAAGTCCAATACTTTTTGGACTCAATTTGGGGTAAATAATTGGAAAAACATAAAGCGTAACTTAGAGAGACACGAAGCATCTTCTCTTCATAAAGATTGTGAATATGCAAACATGACTTGGCTTGCAAATAAACGCATTCAAGATCATTTGCTATCAAATAAGCTTGATATAATCATGGAAAATCGTAATATAGTTCATAATATTATCGATGCCATTATGTACCTTATAAAATGTAATATAGCCTTTTGGGGTTCTAATTCGAATGAAGGTAATCTTATGTGTCTCATAAAATTAATGGCAAAAACGGTTCCAACTTTACGTGCATACATGGATAACAACGAAAAATTGCGGAGAAAAAAATCAGATAAAATTTCGAGACCTTGTATAAATTTATTGTCATATGGCCACGTGAAAAAAATAACTGAAATTATTAAGATAAAAATAACAAAAAGCATTATTCAAAAATTTAAAGAGAATCGTGCCTATAAATATTAGATGGAACATATGATGTGTCTAAAAAAGAATGCATAGCTCTGCTTGTACCGTATATAGAAGATGATCTGCATCCACATCCTGTAGAAAAAATCATACATGTTTTTACAACATCAGAAACCAGTGGGAAAAATATAAAGAAGCATGTTTTTTTAAGTTTAATGATCTTGGTCTTCCTCTTGATTATTTGGTTGGACAAAGTATGGATGGTGCAGGGAATATGAAAAGAGTATACAAAGGAACGCAGGCTTTAATATTGAAAGAGGCTCCAAAAGCCATCTATATTTGGTGCCATGCACATCGGCTAAATTTAGTAGTTGCTCATGTTTGTGGATGCAAAATTGAAATGAAAAAGGCAATGGGAATATTAGATGAGTTATATAATTTTATGAATGGAGTTAGACGTCAAGGTGTTTGTTAAATATCAAATGAGAAAGTCCAAGAAATCTCTTAAAAGAATTAAAAACACGACAAGGTAAATAAAATATTTTTAATGAAACTTATATATTTTCAGAAATTGGTCATCATCCTACAAATCTGTAGAAATCTTGAATTAAAAGATTCTAATGACCCAAGCACCTCTTCTATTGCTGATGGATTATTATCAAGAATTAAAGATGAAAATTTTATATTAAGTCTATTTATTTTGAAAGAAATATTGAAATGTACACATGAGGCTTGTATTGAAATGCAGGCAGTTTGTAATGATTTGGCTATGGTAACCAAATTAATACAACATACAAAAAATAAATTACAAAGACTAAAAGGGTAATATTAGTTACTATTTTTATAAATAATTTTAAAATATAGCTAATGGAGACAATATATTTTAAAATTACATTCCTTATCTAATAGTTTTTTGAAAAAGAATAATGTAATAACTGATTTGTATAATATGAAATCAATATTCAAATTGGATCAAACAGAATTCAATAATTATGTTGAACAAAAAAAAACAAGTTGAATAAATTTAAAAATTTTAAATTATTATTTATTGTTATAGATAGGACGGAAATATTTTTCCCTGTGCTAAATGCAATAATTAACCACCTAAATGATCGATTTAATTATGATTGTTTAAATTTTTTATCACAAATATCCATTTTTACTGCCGCTGGAATTATGGATAATGAAAAAATAGAAAGGATGGCAAATATCCGAAATTTGTCATACTTATCATGGATGTCCAAAACATTGTTGATGAATATAATGATTTTCGCTCTTTGTATTTGGAGTCTCACTCAAGCATTTTTTGCGAATATCTATTGAAAGTTAAAAAGAATGATGCGTTATATAATCATGATAGTAATTTATTGATATATTATTTGTAATTGTATATAATTAAAGGTATTGCAAACGATCAAACAATCGGAGAAAATATCAACAGCGAAATCATGACCAAAATAAAAAAATGGATAAAATATTCTTTTATATTACCATAACGACTTTTAAATCAATTAAATTCTTATTCTAATTTAAATTTATTATATAAATATTTATTTACCTTTCCTACAACTTCCTGTTCAGCCGAAAGGGCCATGAGTAAAGTAAAAATTAACAAAACTCGAATGCGGCATAAAATTTCGGACCCATTTTTAGAAAATTTACTGTTAATATCCAGCGAAATTGATGTTTTTGAAAAATTTACAATTGATGATATTATAACACAATTTGCATTAACATCTATAAAGTTATCCACATTATTAATAAAATAAGTAATGTATCTTTTTCACAGCGAATATATACGCTTTTAAAATATGTAAATTTAATTTAACATTTTATAATTTCAATGCAAAATATACTATAATTCATTTTATTCTAATATTTTATATAATAGCTCTATTTACAATACATGTTTTTAATTAATTAAAAGGTAATATAGATATGTGGAATCAAGCTAAATATACCTCTTTAAATTTATTCGTCTTATATTTTTTACAATATTTTAGATCTTTTTTATAGAAATATTAATATGTTATCTCATTTAATTCACTTATATATATTTTATGAAAATAAAGTGAATATTAACCAAATTATGAAAAGATTGCATTTAAATATAAGTTAATTATCACCTACAAATTTTTAAAAATTTTTTTCCCTAAATAGGCTTGAAATAAATGGTGGCTTATTATAAGATTTTTTAAATAAAATCACTATACCATCGTAGGTTTGTAAATTTCGCGGCCGAAGGCCGCTGGATTTTTTTTAGGTGGGTATGGGTAGATTTTGTAGGGGTTTGTCTTCATCAAATTTTCTGCCATATAGATGCTGGACATGGTGGCAGCGACTATCTTCAGTAAATTAAAATTTTATTATAGCACAAAGATGAGTCATTTAATTATTTCTTTTTTCAAAAAGTCTTGATTTTTTCTTATATCTGAAAAATATTAATATTATCGGAAATTTTCCAGATATGAGATTAAACTCATTTATGACTTCTAACTCACTCATATGATACTAGAAGGAGTTGTATACGACTGTGGACAAAATTTTTAAAGAAAAAAATTATTTAACTAACATTAGGTAGGATTATAGAATAATTAAAAATTTTGGCGACATTTTTATAAATACTTAAATATGGTAAATAAAAAAAACCCACTGTTTTAAATTACACTATATCATATAAATGTGATTTTTCTAAATATATAAAAACATTGATGTATAAATAACTAAAATTGAACTTATTTTCAAGAATATTAATAGTACAGATGACGATAATGCCACTACCTTATTCCACAATCTACAAGAAGACATCTTTACTAAACTACAATCTATATGCTCTAAGCTCATTGACATATATAAGACCTAGACTGACGATTCATTCATTAAAAGTGTACATCAATGCAAATCAGCTGGAGGCGCCATCTTGGTTACAATAATCATTATTAAAATTTTAAACGAGAGCCTAATTTATTCCTAAATCTGATGCAAACTTTATGAAAGAATTACCGGATCATCGAGATAATAAGGAAACAAGTTATCAATTTAATAGTAGTTTTTAACATGAGAATAATTACTAAATGTGTTACCAAAATGGCGGGTCCAGCTAATTTGCTTTTAACGACGCTTAAAAATGCATTTCAATGAATGAATCATCAGTCTAGGTATTATATATGTCATTGTCTAAGGCCGACCTTATGAAATTGTCAACACTAATCAACAATAAAATTTGAAACAAGAATATCGATTTCAATGATGTGCTCCAAAAGGGGAACGAAAGTTTTTTTGAATGGATCACCAGAATTTGTCAGCTTAACATGGATTGCAACTTTGTTGAACATGACAGGGTTATAGAGAAAATAAAGATGTCAAGCTAAGGAAATAAAGTACAGAACTAAAGATTTACTTATTTTAGATGGCATCATTAAGATAGGTAAAGAATTAGATGAAACTGATATAGAACATCAATACATAAGATCGTTATCAAAGATAATACACATTCTGGTGTAAAGCACGTAGAGGGAGCAAGATAAGATAAGAAAGTGGACAAAAACCAACTAACAGCAAATATGATCAAAGTGATACCATATGCCGAGATCAACAGATATTACGATTATCATTGCAAACAACAGTTGGCAGACACGACCACATTATGACAACCAAAGATTTAACAACCAATAAAAGAATATTTTCCAAGACGAAACTATGACAGATTTCATGATCAAAATAGATGGGAAACTCCTTACGTTCCTTTCAGTAATTACGACACAAGAGATAATAACAATTATAGATATAATAATAATTACAAGCCTTTTAATGATTTTCAACAGATTTGACAACAACAAACAACTGTTTCAAAATTTTAGAAGTTTAATTTTTACTATCGTGGCAATAGAAATTATGGGGTATATAATTTTAGACATCAAGAGCCTTACTTAAATAAGATCAAAACTGTTAATATAGAAGAGATCGAAGAGGGCAAAATTATATCTAACGACAATAAAGATTATAATTAGCTACCTATGAAGGTCTGGAATTAAATTAATAATGACATCGATAATGAAATTAAAGAATGGAAATCTTATAATATTTGGGCCTATATTCCCATTAACACACAGCATCCATGGAAGACAACGAAAAGCCATTCGAAAGAATACACATTGACTACGCTGGGCCATTTTTTTAAACAGATACTGGTTGCCTATAGTAGACACATACAGTAAGTTTCCTATAATCACGCCGGTTAAATCAATAAGGGTGCATTCACAGTAGAGGGTGACAGCGACACGACAAAATACAAATATATGTAATTACCAATGACTATTCATAGTGAGCTTTTGCGACGTGACACGACATTCACGCCACATTTGTCGCATTAAACATAGAAATCAAGTTACAAAACATTATGTTTTTTTTTTCAAAACGATATAACTACAATATGGCCGAAAAAGAAAATTTGCAAGTAAATTTTTGATATGCTATTAAAATAATAAATGTTATATATATATATATATAATTAGAATTTAAATAAATTTTATGTTAATAATTTTTTATAGAAAATCAATAGATCAACTCCGTTAGATACCATCAACTGAAAACAATATTGAGAGGTAATTAAAGAGTATATTAATTTGAAATATTTTTCTTTTGCAGTAGAGATGGCCAATTCAGCATGGAAAAATCTAAGAGATTGCTTTATGAACGAACATAAAAACTATAGAGCTAGTATACCAATTTGAAAAAAAAACAAATCATCTAAAATTGATGAAGCAAATATTGCCAGAGAAATGTATGAGCAAATGAGTGGTAATAAAAATTATCAATATGAAGATGGTAAATATACTAATTTTTGTTAAGATTTTATTAATACATCGCCATTGAAATCTCCTGCATAGAGACAAGTAGTGAAGCTACAATTTTAAGGAATGATTGTAATCATATATATATAAATAATATTATATATATTTAGCATCACCATCAACTAGTAAGGATCAAATTTATCTTAAAAAAATTAATTAAATAGAAGGATATTGATCAAGGTAATTTGCATTTTGTAAATATTTTTATTATTTTAAACTAGATCTATTAATAAATAAACTTTCTTTTTATTAAATAATTACAATCAATATAAAAAAAAATAGGGTAATATTTTTAAAATTATTATAAAGCTATAATTGCCATAATTTATTTCTATAAAAATATTCAGAAAAGTAATCTCTAATATCTTTAGAAACCTTTGAGGGATTTTTATAGATTGAGGATTCCATAAATAATTATTTTGTTTAGTATCCTTGGGGTGGAGATCTATGTTTTCTTTATCAATAACCAAATTGTGTAATAGTACACAAGTTTTTATAATTGTTTCGCTATTGGTGACATTGGTATCCAAGGCTCAATTAAGAATACACCATTTAAATGCCAATATGCAAAGGTGCATTCCACCATTCTTCTGGCCCTTGAAAGGCGACGGATAGTTACATCCTGTTCCTAAATATCTAAGAAATTTTGATTATATAAAAAAAATTAATATAAACCTTAGTATCATCATCAATTTTTCTTCTACCGATGTGGGATTTTTAATAAAATTTGTTTTTTACCATTATTTTCGATTTAATATGGGTTAAAATATAATAAAAGGTTTTCTAAATACAAAATTTCAATTTAGATTATACAATGAAATATATATTTTGGTTAATCTCATATAATTTTAAAACTTTTCAGGATTGTTTATAAGTTTTGGGAATAGTACTGAGAACTCTTTCCTCTTCTTTTCTAACATTTAGATTATTTTTTCTCCTTTTCATATAAGGATATAATAGAAATAATTTTAAAGTTGTATAGATACCTTTTTTTAAAAAATAAAAATATGCTTGTCGCAACTACTATCGCTTACAACACATCAGCTGCTCTGTCGTTTAATGTCGTGTTGTGTTTGTCGTGTCGCTGTCGCTCTCCTCTGGGAATGTACCCTAACTGCGGAGATCACAATAAAGGAATTAATGAAAATTATCAGCTTATTTGGCATTCCAGAACAAATAGTCAATGGCTCTTTTCAAGTCGACTGTTTAAAAAAAATTGTGGACGATATAAATCACTTTCTGACTTCAGCCCACCATCAGTAGTCAAATGGGCAAGTCAAAGGTCAGAACTTTCAAAACGCACATGAAAAGATGCATGGAGCAAAATAATATAGATTTAGATATCGCTCTTGAAAATATTTTATTCAATTACATAAATATACCTAACAACACGATAGGTATTCCTCGAAGGAAACTAAAGTTTAATCACGATATGAGAACCAAATGGAATTTATTAAAATATAAAAAGAACAATCACAATATTTTGATCACGACTTTACCGAAAAACAGAATTATGGATATCGGAGACAAAATTTGGTACAAAATATTTGGAGTAGATTCTTTAATTTACAATAAATATTTTTCTATAGGAATTAGACTAAGGCATTATCATAAATAAAGAAAGCAATATGCTATATCATACA